TAATATTGCTTTAAACAAAAGTTTTCTCCAGGTGCTCCGGGTTTTTTACAAACACAAATGACAGACATTGTCTGTAATTTTGTCTATAATTAAAATTAATTAAACCTATGTTTCATATAAGTTCTCTCCGGGTGTTCCGGTGTCTCTACAAACATGATATATGTGCCAATCAGGTTTTTTCCTTATTATTTGTTTAGCTTTCTGACCGTTATGCTAATCCGGGTGAGTGTAGCTGTGCGCTGCTTTACCTGCTGTCTGATCGCTCCATATGTCTTTTTTTTTACTGCAGTGATCCTCGATGTAGCCAAACTCCGTCAAGTATGGCATTGTTTTTATGCCATATTAGATTCGTTGTGTTGATGCATTTTGACCTGCTTCGCCCCTCGTGCTTTAATTTTCCGCCGCAACACGCAAACTTCCCCCATTCACTCAGTGTGATATAGTTCCACATCGCTTAGGATTTGTTGCTGCGCGTTTGCGCAGAGTGAAGGAAAAAGGAGACCAGCTGCACAGGCAGGTTGGAAATGAGAAGCAGGTGATCGGTATCGGCAACAAGAGCCAATGATCGCCGATCACCGATCATGCTCTTTTTTACGGAAATCGGCCCGATTATGATCGGTGACCGATCGATCGGCACACCTCTACTTAAAATAACATAAAATCAGCGTAATGCGTGACTCCGAGGAGAGCGTTAAAGCTCCTCACCGGGCTGAACCTGCACGATCAGGTTAGCGCTGCTCGTTATCCACAAACGCTCCGGCCAACCGGGACCACAGACAAACTTTACAGGGAAGACGGACACAGAGCCACACGCTGGGCAGCATGTTGAGATGTAAACTCCGCATATAATTGCTCGTTCGCAAAGATAAATCATTCTCACTGCTCCACAACGCGCCTCTGAATTCGCTACAACTTATTCCTGCGGTTCACATGGAGCTGCGCAACCAGAGCTAACGTGGCGGGTTTTAAACTCTTACCCAGAGTTTCTCCAAAGGACTATAATTCCTCACAGTAAGTTGATGTAAATATCCATACAGGTCACTCAGCCTGTGTCCAGTTTGAGTGAAAGGAGGTGCACGCAATCCCGCTGAGGTAAAGCAGCGGCAGCGCGAGGCAAAGCGCAGAGGCGCCAGCGGTGTGATCGGTCCGCGCTGTCGACTTTTAAATGCATAAACTATAAACCTATCTATTATAAACCTATCCCTTAGGAATTAATCTGCTCTGCTAGTGAAATGCTAAGAGCAAAAGAGACGCTTGCAGCCCGGCTTAAAAAAAAAAAAAAGATCTGTCCCCCCCCAGGAACGCTTAGCCTGGCGCGGGGCTAGTAAAGCATGGCGAGACGCCAGGTTATAGATATACATATATATAGTTCCGCCCCTGGATTGAAACATCTCTTTTACTAGAAAGTGTGAATAACTTCAGAGCTTTTCCTGGTTACCATAGCAATTGAACCTGTTACACTTCTACCTAACTGATGATGTCACTAGGATCCCAGGCTTTGTGTCATAGATTCTATGACATCAGCTCTGAACCCTTTGAATGTCTTGTTACTTGTGTTCTAAAGCCAGATGAGGACAACCCAACAAATTTATAGAGAATTTTAAATTTGAAACCGAAACATAAGATGGATTCTCGTCGTATACCCAGCAGAGTTATCGCGTCGTAAAAAGAGAGGAGATTACAACCAAATGAAAAACTCAACATGCCTTTCAAAATTAAAGATGACTATTGTAATTTAAGCAGCTTTATTTCAAAGGTGTCTGAAATTGCAAAACATTTCAAACCTGACAGCACAAC